TTTAACATGTAGGTAACAACCTAAAATAGTTCTATAATTTTATCCAGAATATTAACAGAGAAAAAAGAACACTTACCAGATGGAGACATATATTCTGCATTTGCCCTACAAACCACTTTTATAGGCAAATTACACATCTGCAAAAAGGTCTGGAAATAAAGAGAAGTACAATAAGCTTAGTGAATATTTTTGCCTATTTGAAGAGAACTCTGTATTCATCTTCCCTGAACTTAAACGGTCCATACAATAACACTCTATTGGAAAACAATGAACCAATTTTAAAACTCTGTTTTCCAAACAAAAATGTCATTTTTCTTCTTTTAAAAAATCAATATGACCTACTATTAGTAACTACATGAAACTTAAGAGCATTTATATATACTTATGAAAATAAATTATTCACATTTATTTTATTAGTTTATGTAAGTAAGCAATACTACAGAATGCTTTTTCTTTAACAGATGACTAACACATTTTATAAGACACTGATAAAATCTTAATTTTATATGATACTAATTCTATTACTCTCTTCAGGATCTTATAGTAAAACTCAAAATGTTATTTCTGCTGCTTCAATGTCCTCTAAATCATATTCAAAAACTTTAACACATAATTTCTATGCTCATTCACTTTTAAAGATTTAAATCTTTTTTTTTTCACTTAGTTTATAGGAACAAAAATTTCAGAAGTAACTTAAATGTCTAACAAGGGAACAAAGGAGTAAATTACAGTAGATTCTACAGAATTCTACAGAAATTTAAAGTTTACGCTTTTTTTTCAGGACTGGAGTTTGAACTCAGGACTGCTATCTTACTAGGCTGCCAGGACACCGTTCAGCAATGCTTCCAGACTCATTTTTCCCTGGATTTTAGGACAGAATTTCACTTCATGCCTGGTATACACATGAATTGCCTACTTTAAGTTGCCCCTCATTACTGAGATTACTGGTGCACATCACTATATCCAACTTCCTTTCATGAAGATGGAGTCTCTTGGTCTTTTCTGCCCAGATGGAGATTGGCACTGTGATCCTCTCGATCTCGGCCTCCCACATAGTTTATGATGACAGGCATGCAACACTGTACCCGGTTTTGGATTGACAAGGAGTCTCTGGAATTTTTCTGCCTGAGCTGACCTCCAGCCATGATACTCTACATTTCAGCCTCCCAAGTAGCTAAAATTATAGATATAAGCCATAGATGCCCAGCATTTTTGAAAGATAGGTGACAGGAAGTGGCACTGTGGCTCAAGCAGTAGAGCGCTCGCCTTGAGCTGAAGAGCTGAGGGACAGTGCTCAGGCCCAGAGTTCAAGCCCCACGATCAACAAAAAAAAAAAAAGATAGGTGACAATCTACTTTTCAGTACAATCAGGTGGAGTTATCTTCAAATGGCAGATGTTATGTTTTCTTCCTAAGAGAAAGCTTCTATTCATTTCACAATTAAATTTGAAACATTTTATGTGAAAATTCACTAAAGACTTTTCCCAAGCATGCAATGCCATTTCAGGCACAAAATGAAAATGGTTATGAATTTTAATTCACATCCTGCTTCACCAGAACACAAAAGAAATGTGTGATGACAACGGAAGAATTATTATTCACCATACTGAATATTTTAAAATTAAAAACCATGAACGAACCTATCCTAGAAAATAATTCATTTTTTACATCTAACAGCTGCAGACCCTATAATTGAAATAATGTATCGAAGGTTACAAATAAAAAGTGTTAGATATCATTCTTGAAGTGACATATTAAGTTCCTAATCCAGTTACAGTAATAGCCATATTTGTAGTTTAACATAAATTAAGACCTTAATTATATTTGTGACTATTTTAAACAAAATAACAAATTCCTTTGTACCTGAGAGTGTAATTTATAGCAAAGCCAGGTTCATTTTCCAAACCAATCTATTTCACACTGCAGAGGTACAGTGGTATAATGGTATAATATAATTCTGGATGTAGAATGTTTTTACTAAAAGCACAGAAGAGGTTTGAAGATAAATGAAGATGCTATTCATTCAAGGGTAATTTCATTTTAAAACTATATGAAGGATGTTTCACTTACACAGGATAGTGTATGGTCTCAAATTTAAGCATATTTTCAGGTCAGATATGATGCTGCTAGATCGATTATGTTGCTAGTGTATATCTAATAATGAAAAATTCTACCCCTTTTCTATTTAAAAAATAGGCTGCTTTTTTTTCATCTTACCACTATGTCTTTATCTCTTTAACAGCAACAAAATTTAAAATCCTGCTTGCTATTTCCTTCTTATACAAAATATATATATGCAACTTATATTCTAATCCATAATATCTCAGAACTAAAGAAGTATGAACTTCGACAAAGTTAGACAATATTTATATTAGCAAATTATTGCCATGTATAACTATTTCACATTTCAGTAACTACTAAAAATGACAAATCAGCCACCTAGTTCTACTATGACTATATGTCACTTCATTTCTACAAATTCTACATGAATTTATTTTATTATTAATTTTAATATTAATATTAGTTCCTCAAACACATTTAAACTCAGTTGCTTTTTAAACATAATATTTTTAAACTTACATATATTTTGTACTTAACGGTTTCTATAAAGCATGCCAGCTATTAGAAGCATAAACCTACCATCATGCTCTAGTATTTCAGGTACAAAAAAATAATGTACTATAAAATAAGGCCTCTATCTTTACAGTTCATGAAATATTAGGAAGTTTTAAAAATATTTTCCATAAAACATTATTCTATTGAAATATATCCAGATTCCATCTTACCAGCTTTAAGTTAGCATTATGCAATTAATTTAACTTGCATTGTGCAAAGTACACAACCGAAAACTAAAAACTATTCCCTCTGAAATTCTTCAGATAAGCTGTCTCTTGTGGCCACCTCAATGATACAAGTTGATAGCTACTATATATTTATACTGACAGTTGTTTCTCCAATTCAACAACACATGCAGCCCCAAAGGAAAGAGAAATGTTCTCCTTCTACTCATCCTCAAACATGATTATTAGAATATTATCATTTAACCACTAATTAATATGTCCACCTAAAAAAGCAACATTTGTTCAACTGAAAAAAGCAAGAATCAGATAAGTATTTATCAAGCAAATAAATGGTGCCTATAAAAATGTGTGTCTTGTTAATGATGTGATATATTCAACAGAAAGAAAACATTTTTTCTTTCATTTTCAGATAAAGTACTGACGAAAGAGAAAAAATTAAGTGGAACACTGAATTTGAACTCAAATGTTATTTTTATTTGAAGTGAAAAGATTACTTTTGCATGCAGCATTCTAATAGTGATTATCACTTTTAAACACTCTAAAAAACATTCATATTTTTATACTATCTATACTATGTCATACAAAAAGATAAACTGCTGTGTATGGTAGCATAAGTCTATAGCCTCAACCAACACTCAGGAGGTTGAAGCAGGAGAATCATAAGATTGAAGCCAGCCTAGGCTACACAGTAAGTTCCAGGCTAAGGTGAGCTACACACTGAGACCTGTCTCAAAAAAAATAAAAAAGAAAGAAAACCCAGGTTTTTTTTTTTTTAAGCTGGCTTCATATAAAGTCTAAACCCTACTAAAAATATTTTATTTATATGACATTCACAAAATAGGTATATAAATCTTTGAAGTCAAAACAGGTACTAATTCTTCATTTAGCATCATCTTGCATTTCTATAGCTTTTACTTTTTTTTTTTAAAGAATTTCTCATTTATTACCAAGTTAGCTTCAAAATAAGACTTTATCTCATTTCAAAGTTCCAAGTACTAAGATTTATTTTTCATACCCTAGTATAAACTACTGTATGATACACCCTGCTAGAAAAGGTCACAAATACATGTTATCAAACATTTACTTGTTGAGTTTAAGTTCAAAGATCTTTAACACTAAACTAGAATAATATATAGCTAACAGTTTTTACATGTGGACAATCAACTCAAACTCCCTAGGTATGTGTATTCTGACACTGCCACGTACTTTTTACGTAACTTTGGAACAACTGATTAGTCCCTCTACCACATAAGGAAAAAAGATTATTAGTGGTACTTGTCTCACAAGGTTGCCCCACGGTATCTATGATATCTACCTCATATAGCACTAAGCTTATACAGTGGTTGTAAGAATTAGAGGTCATATGAATTAGGTATTCGGCACAATAGTAAATACATGTTGTATTCTATAAATATTGCTGCTTTCTGTTTACCATCACAATTTGTAGGCTCTATGCCTTTGAATACAGCATCCTTTGAGCTTTAGTTTCCACATATTTAAAAGGAAAGTTAACAACAGTAGTGTGCATTATGGTTATGATCAAGACTGAATGAATGCATATTTTACCAAAAAAAAATAAGTTCTCAGTAGTTTGCCATAAAAGAAAAGCATTTAAAGTTTAAAACAAGTGTTTTCAGTATTATTAAAGTAACATTTTGTTTGAATTTAATAATTCAATATTAACTTCGTTTTTGCTTTTTTAAAATTGGTAGAACACCAGCCTACCAAGCACAGGTCCTGAATTCAAACCCTAATACCTAAGACAATAAATAAAACTGGTTTATTAACTTCATAATATATGAGCACTTCTCTATGAAATAAGCAAAACTTCCCTGCTAACAAAAATTTACAGACTGTCAAAAAACTGCATTCAGTTAGAAGCTATAAATAGGAAAATCAGAAGAAACAAAGACCATCAAAAGATTCACAACAGTCCTCACAATCATGTAAGTTTAAGAAGTAGAGGTCTCTTTATTAACTTTCGGGAATACATCAGGATTCAGGGTGTACAATGAAATTCATCAGGATGGTCAAGGTGAATGAGGTTAGAGCTAACTGCCCACAACTATGATCAACTGTCTCAGCTTTCTGTGAGCTGTCTCAACCCTTCTTGTTCTCTCATCCTTGTCTGAGGCTTTCCAAGCCTATATATGCATCAAATCCCAACAACATTGTGGGATGAGCTGCCTAAAACAGAATCAAAACTATAAAATGCTTCACAAATTTGTGTTACCCTCTCATAGGAGTCATGCTAATCTTCTCTGTACTATTCTAATTTTAGTATATGTGCTATCAGAGCCAAGATGATAACACTTTTTCTTAGGTATGATTATGAAAGAACACTTAAAAATATTAATGCTCAAATACAAGAATGTTCCTAAAAAGATCTTACATATATGTAACTCAATAATGTCAAAAAATTAGACATTACTAGGCCTGCAATTTACTAATCCCCTTTTTGAAATTATGTCCATTTCTGTCAAAGAAACAAGAGAACTAATGACCAACATTTATTTTCTACTTAATATATATGAGGTATTTTTAAATACTTTTAAATGTTTTAACACATTCAATCCTCATAACCCAAGAGGATATCTATTATTACACCTTTACTTATAGATGAGGACACTTGAAACAAAGAAGTCTATTTAAGGCCAAAGCCGATTTCAACTGTAGAATCTGCTGTTTAAAAAAAAAAAAAAAAAGTCCAGATTGTCAGTTGCTCAAGCCTGTAATCCTAGCTACTCAAGAGGATAAATCCTAGAGATTGTGTTTTGAAGCTAGTCAAGGAAGAAAAATCTGGAGACTCTTATCTCTAATTAATAATCAAAAATGTTGAGCTGGAGACATGACTAAAGTGACAAAGTACCAGCCATAAACAAGAAAGCTGAGAACACAATGCCTTGAGTTCAAGTCCAGATACCAGAAGGGGAAAAAAAAGACAGCATATTCTAAATACAGAATATACTTCTTGAAGAAAATAATTGTTATACATTATGTACTTCTTGAAGAAAATTTTAATCTTTTTTTGCAAAAAGCTTGTAGATTTCATATGTATTTGTTAATACTATACTTCTAATCCTGCACTATCTAACACAAGAGCCACAAGCAAATTTTAGCTATTGAGTACTTAACAATGTGGCAAAGTGGCGCTATGGCTCAAACTAGTACACTAGCCTTCAGCAAAAATAGCTCAGGAACAGCACCCAGGCCAAGTTCAAGCTCCATGACCAACCTAAATAAACAAATAAATAAAATGGGGCTAGCACAAATTGAAATATGCTATTAGTATACCAACAGATTCTGAACTTAACATTATAAAATGTAAAATAATAAATTTTTATCGATCACATAAAATGATAATATTGTGATGCATTGGGTTAACTAAAATAATTATAAAACTCATTTCACCTTTTTATTTAGTCTTTTAATGGGACTACTAGAAAATTTTTATTAAATATGTAGCTAACATTAAATTACCTATTGAACAACTGGTTTAGGTTTACTGGGTAAGAGAAGACAGTAATATAATTATCATAAATATGTTTTAATAGTCAATATAACCTTAACTCCTTCATAGCAGCATTACAGAATCGAAAATTCTCTATTTTTGTACACATGCATGCAGTATAACACACAAACATAAAACACACAGTTCATGGAAACCAAATGAATATGCCATACTAATATTTTACTATATTCCACTTACAAGGTTGCATTTTTTACCAGGAAAAATTTTCAGTTAAAACCAATATTTGGAGATAAAGTAAATTTAACTAGGCACTGCAAAGGGGGGAAAATGTTCTCTTTCAACACTGAAACTTTTTTTTAATCTAACTTAGTTACTTCATGAGTATAATAAATACCAAGTCTATATGGTAAGTAAAACTTACATTTCTTGATGCTTAACAGACAATTAAACTATCTGATAGTTGCTATCCTCTAGAAAATATCTACTTCATGAATACCTGTCATACTGCTTTGACCAATTTTATGCAACGAACATGAAGCCTTTAACCAATTCTTCTAAACAGATGCTGGCCCGCTATATAGAAGAATATTACTCTATAAAGTTTACATCAGATATGTGGAAAAGTCACATTTATAGTCATGGCTACTATCAGCTGTCACACCAAAGAATATTGAAGAAAAACCAAGCCTTTTAATATATGCTAGTTAATTTATCATCTAAGTGACATATGTAGGATAAAAAATTGAAATAGTTAAGCAAAATTCTATTATTTTAAAATATCTTTTTCCAAGATACTACGTTGAAATCGAACTTTACAACTTCAGGTGGGGGGGAGGGAGGAGTTGGGAGGTGGGGAGAGAAGGGTTGGTAGGGGAAAAACAAAGGAAAAAGTAACGATGCTTGATAAGAAATGTACTCATTACCTTACGCATGTAACTGTAACCCCTCTGTACAGTATTTTTACAATAAAAAAATATTAAAACAAAAAAAACCTAACCCTCATTTAAGTACAATCTTGGCAAATTTGTACTATGCCTTTTATTAACATATCCTTAATGTTTTTTCTAGTTCACTTGTTTGTTTCTTCAACATTTTTACCTTGTCCTAAAACATACCCATGCAAACACTACCTTTTTTTGTTCATAAATACATTCAACTCAAGCCGGAAGTGGCGCTGTGGCTCAAGTGGTAGAGCGCTAGCCTTGAGTTGAAGAGCTGAGGGACAGCGCCCAGGCCCAGAGTTCAGGCCCCACGACCGGACCCAAATAAATAAATAAATAAATAAAAATAAAATAAAATAAAAAAATACATACATTAAACTATACACAGAAGTTAAAAAAATAAATAAGTACATAAATAAAATATCCTTTTCCCTGGTTTTATTTTTAGTTGCAACTTGAGAAACTGTGGTGAGAAAGAAAATTAATAAGATGGTCTTTGTCTTCCCTTGCCCAAAATTCTTAAAAATGTAAAATTTTTTAATTTTTAATATACTAATACCTTGCTTTGTAATGGAAACTTCTTAAAATACCTATTCCAGGTTTTAACCTTGCCACTATTCGCATATCAGGCTGGATAACTCAATGTTCTAGAAAACTGTTCTCTGCATTATGGGAATTTAGCAGCATCCTAGGTGTCTACCCAACAGATGGAATTCTCCCAGGAATTCTGACAACCAAAGCATCAAAACATGGTCACATCTTCAGGAAACAAAATTCCCTCCATCTGAGAACCAAGAATATATTTCTACCCAAAGTACTTTCCTATTGTGTGAAAATTACTTCATTACTTTCTAAACTGCTATTATTTAGTTCATATCAGAAAGGAGGTCTACAGGCCCACTGAATCCATATGCAGAACACCCTGCATTTTTTTTCCTGTGTATGCAATGAAATATTTTCTAGGAAAATGTTCTAGACTTTTGTCAAATCCTAAGAAGTTATTCCCAAAATGGCAATTTAAGAAGAATTGAAAATTAAGAACTAATGTTTCAAGTAAAGTATTAGTAACGCCCTAAAGCTGTCTTTTCAAAGATACAAGATTGACAAATATTATAAGCTTAATATTATAACAGAGTCTAAAGAGGAAATATGCAGCTTTGTAACTATCCAACTTGAACAGCGAATATAAAAAATTTAAGTAAACTGGGCAGCAGGTGCTCACACCTGTAATTCTAGCTACTCAGGAGGCTAAGACCTGAGGATCATGGTTCAAAACCAGCCCGGGCAAGAAAGTCCTTCAGATATTTATTTCCAATTTACTACCAAAAAGCTAGAAGTGGATCTCTCTCAAGTGGTAAAGTGCTAGCCTTAAGGAAAAAAAGGTCAGGGACAGTGCCAAAGCCCTGAGTTCAAGCCCCAGGACAGGCACCAAATTAAATAAATAAATAAATAAATAAATAAATTTTCCTTATATACATCTTATTATAGTGATGTAAACTCAAGAAAAGAAAATATTGTTTTAAAACACAGCAAGTAATTTCTCTGTTCTGTAGTTGATCAGGCAAGATTACTTTCCAAAACCAAACATTTGCCAAGTGCATTCTATGTGTTAGGCAACTACATTGTTAATGTTTGAAAGCTTAAATTACATTCCTTTCACCAAATATAGGGGGAGATTAATAAAGGCAGTATAAAGGCATTATCTATTGCATAAAATTCAAAATTTCTGCTCACAAAAGTTAACATAATATGAAAACATAATTAAAATACTGCCAGAAACATAATTTATATTCTGGATAAAAGATATAAAACAAAAATACACTTAGAACTCAAAAAACTTAAATCCCCCAACAACAAATCCTCAAAGAAACCACCGCCCCATTAATAAGTGGGCTAAAGACTTAAAGAGAGACTTCTCTGAAGAGGAAATAAGAATGGCCAATAGACGTGAAGAAATGCTCAACTTCTCTAGCCATAAAAGAAATGCAAATCAAAACAACATTGAGATTCCACCTCACTTGATTATAGAATGGCTATAATCAAGAAATCTAATAACAACAGATGATGGAGTAGATATGGCCAAAGGGAACCCTATTGCATTGTTAGTGTGAGTATAAACTTGTTCAAACACTTTGGAAAGGAGGTTCCTCAAAAGACTCCACATAGAGCTCCCCTATGACCCAGCAATCCCACTTTTGGGCATTTACCTTAGGCATTTACCCAAATGATCACAAACAAGGTCATACTAAAGCTACCAGCACAACCATGTTTATTACAGCATTATTCACCATAGGTAAGATATAGAACCAACCCAGATGCCCTTCAGTAGATGACTGGATCAAGAAAATGTAGAATACGTGTGTGTGTGTGTGTGTGTGTGTGTGTGTGTGTGTGTGTGTGTGTGCATACACATACATACATACATACACACATACACACATACATACAGTGGAATTCTATGCCTCCATCAGAAAGAATGACACCGCCCCATTTGTTAGGAAATGGAAAGAGTTGGAAAAAATTATATTAAGTGAAGTAAGCCAGGCCCAAAGAAACATAGGTCCCATGGTTTCCCTTATCTGAAATAACCAGTATACGTCTAGGACAAGCAGAAAAAGTCAAGAGTTATGTACATTATAACCATATAAGCTGATGCTAAGTGAAATGAACCCCAAGATAGGAACACAAGAGATTTCATCTTTTTTGCTGTTGCTTTTAATGTACTTATAATGTACTATGTGATTTTTTTTTTGTTTCTATTGTATGTTCTTCCCTCATGGTATAAACTCTGTTGTTACTTTATTTGATTCCGATGTCCTGCATCTTGTATATACATTTTTCTAATTTGGGGAGAGGAAGGGAAATAACAAAATGCTGAAATAAGGATACAGGCTGAGC